GTTAAAAAATAAATTAAAAAAATACAGATTCGGAAAATATACAACTTCAGAAGAACAATCATCTCTGGGATGGGAAGGAAAGGAGACTAGGAAGGGGTATAAAAAATTAGCTATAATATTTTAGTTCTTTAAAAAACAATACCTAAGAGAATATGGCAAAATGTTAACAACTGTTAAATCTTTGGTAGGTACATGGATGATGGTGTAGTATAGCCTCTGTGCTTTTTGTTCAAAGTACTTTCTCATTTTAAAAAGAGGGACTAGTTAATGTTTTAGAATGACAGAAAATAAGACAATATGTGTGCTTTGAAAAGGGAGATGTATTAATAGAGGCCAATTATAGCTTTTATTCTCCCAGTCAACTTAATTGGCCCCTTTATAAAAAATTTTTTAATTACAAATGAAGATGCACTCATATAATCTTTGGAAAAGATATTCATAAAGAAAGCTAATCAGCATGAGTGTTATTATGGCACTTGAATCTGCCTGAATCTGCTAGGATTCATCTATCTTTTAAAGTAAATCATTTTGAAAATGTCTATACTCATTACTTAAAAAATACATTCCATCTAATTCATATGTATAATAGATACCATGGTTGATCACTGCTGCTCCAGTGACAAAAACCTAGATGGGTAAATTCATACATCTAAGTGGGGACGGGGTCGTGGTGGCAAACACTAACATCTCAGGTCCAGATGCCTACCCTTCCTGTTAAGATTCCCCTTGAGTTTCATGTAAGGTAAAAGTTATATAAATGATTTTAAATAACCCAAATTTTACAGTGAAATTACTGGAATTTTATATTTTTATTGGAAATAATTTTATATTACTGGAAATAATTATAGCGTGAAATTACTGGAAATAATTTTCTGTTGTTGGGTTAGGCTGAACAAAGTATGGCCGTCTCACTCTATGGAACATTAGGATGCTATTAGTAATAAAAATTTGAAAACTATCAACCACATAGAAAAAATTCCCAGAATAATATTAAATAAAAGGAACAAAACGTATATAAGCAAGGATTAAAATTATTTAAAAATATGGGTACATATGAATAAACTAGGAGGGGAATAGAAATAGTTATATTTCTGGTAGTAGATTTGAGGGAGATTTTTCACCTTTAATTTCTTTTAATGCTAGCTTAATTACTTAACTAGTTAGTGTTTTAAAACAGTTATATATACTACAAGAGAAATGTGCTAAACTAAATCCCTTTTTCATAGCTATACCCCACAAAAACTTTCAGGTGTATTTTTTATTTTTTAGATCTCTCAAGTTTAATTTCATTAAAACCAAGTCAGCAGTCAAAAGTCAGAAATTCTGTTGCCTCTGCAAGTCAGAGAAGCTTCCTTCTTGTTTCAACTTCTGCCTCTAGATCTGACCTGCTATCAAGAATATTAGACTTCATCAAGTGAGTTTATCTCTGAGATCCACTTACTTACAATATGATCCTGGGCTAATCACGGAAATGCTCTAATGTTTGTGCTCTTCTATCCCTAAGTTTCTGTATTTACAAAATTCTCCACGGAAGCCAAGTACTCACAGATTCATCTCAGATCTAGGGTTCATCCCCTACTTTCCTACTTCTTCAACCCTGCGGAAAACAGGGCTTAACACTGGATTCCACCTTGCCAGGGGCAGGCCAAACCTTGAAGAGGCGATTAAATCCCCAAAGATAAATAGCCTTTGGTTCACAAGAAGTAAACTATGATTTATTGAATTCTTGTGCATCTGGCACTGTACCAGGCACTTCAAAAATGTTATGTGAACCACCGTCCCCTACCATAGACACAGAACCAGTTCCTGGAGCCAGGGAAATCTGCATTTGCAATTTAGGGGCCAAGGACAGGCGGCCCTAAGACGGGCCACTCTGGTATGCAGATTATGCTGATCTAAAAACAAAAGCCCAAAGACTCAGGAAGAAGATGACCCCCCCCCCCCATGCTCCTCAGCAACAGCTGCCTAAAAGATTTTAGATGAAGGACCTGCTCCACAAAGAGAGCTATTACAACAGATAACTACATTATAACAAGAACTAGGTATAGTAGACAGGAAGGAACCAAGCAAAGCCTGTTTGATTAAAGTCCTCTCTAAGTCCTACTGTTTCTGAATGGCCCAACAAACATCTGTTTACCAAACATTTACTCTTTTTCATCTTCCTGCGAGTTGCATTCCTTCCCTTTGAAGTCCCAGACCCTTATCCCTCTTTTCTCCTTAGTTCAGGAGATGACATAATATAACTCATTTTGCCTGTCTGGAATTTCAGGTCTGTAGATTTCCCTTATGTACGAAATTAAATTTGATTTTCTCCTGTTAATCGGTCTCATGTCAATTTAATTCTTAGTCCAGCCAGTAGAATTTTGATGGGCAGAGAAAAATTTTCTTCTGCCCCAACAGTGACAAACATCCCGTGTAATTCTTACACACACACAAGTTTGAAAACCGAAGATCGAAGTCCCTGTTTTCAAACTGTGAGAATTTATTACTGGCCTGTAGTCTACATTTTTTAAAAGTACATAATGGAGACTATCAGAGTAAATTGCATGTAGTAAGTATTGTTTTTGTGAAATGGTTGTAATGATAAATTGTGTATGTATATACTGGGCCACAATATAAATTTTCTGTGAGTCACAGCAAAAAGGTCTGAAAAGTACTAACCAGGCATTACCGACCTAGAATAATGCACAATGAGGCAAAATAGTAAAAAAGCAATCAAGAGACTGCATAGCATATAGCTACCCTCCACAAGTTATCTATCTAGAGAAATAACAAAATTTAAGACACTTAAACTCTAATCATCTATAGTCATAAGGGATATTTGGTATAATTAACTTGGCCAAAAAGCCAGTAACTTTACTTTTAGCCAATAACTTAAATATTACGCCTCCTTTTTTTTTTTTTTTTGTTTACTGTGGTAATAACAAGGAGAATGAACAAATTATTCAAATTTCACTGTCCCCTTCACCAGGTAGAGGGTAAGCTAGAAAAACATGATAGCCAAAAGAAGGAAAGAAATTTAGTTAATTCATTAATCGAATTCCAATCCCCGGATAACCAAAAGCAACCGTCCATTAAAGCCATCTTATCGCTCCTTGCTTACAACACTCAAATAATGTATTAGGGGCCCCACTACCGAATACAACTAATCAGTTCCGAACACTCCGAATGTTTATTAAGCCATCCCCCCCTTTTTGCCTTTTGTTTAAAACCAAACCACGGAATCCACGGGAAACTAGGGTCACAACCGCACCTCTACGGTGAAGTGAAGACGCTCAGATTGCCAAGCAGTGGCAAGCGGGCGGCGCGCCTGCGTTTCTCCACTCCAAGGCGGGAAAAAGCAGGGGACGAGGTCCCCTGTGTTACGGGGAGCGGGAGCAAGGCATAGGGATGCTCACCCCAGGGGTTCAGGTCCAGAAGGCGTGCCCACAGCAAAGGAAAAGAAGCGCGATCCCACCTTACACACAAAACACACCACCTCCGCGCGCACACACGTGCTGAGCCAAGGAAAAGAACCGTGATCCCGCCCCCCGACTCCCCACACGTGCCGAGCGGAGGAAAAGCGCGCTCCCCCCCTACACGCCCCCTCCCCACACACCACACAAGCCGAGGTAAGGAAAAGCGCGCTGCCCCCCTACACGCCCCCTCCCCACACACCACACAAGCCGAGGTAAGGAAAAGCGCGGTACCACCTTACCTGCGCTCCCTCGAGTGTACGTGCACACGCGCGCGCGCGCTGAGACCGAACTGAACCAGAACCTGTGTTTCTGTCCCCGAGTGGGGAGGGGGCGTGGGGAGCGCGTGGAGAGCTGCAGCAAAACCTTCTCAACCCCCTGGGCCACCGAGCCTACGCATCCACTCCCGCTGCCTCAGAGCCGCGGGAGGAGTCGTCCGGTTTAGAATTCACGTGTGGGGAAAAGTGTAATGACGAACGAGCCTGCTGATGACTGGGACAAACGAAAACCCCGCAAACTTACCTTGGTGGCTTCCGCCGCCGCTCGCCGTCGGGGCTTCCAAAGTAAACGAGAAGGGCCTCCGAAACTGTCTAGCGCCGGAGAGGCGGACCTGGGCCTACTCGGACCGAGGGGGGGGGGGGGAGAAAAAAGCAGTGTCTACCGCCGGCCGGTTGCAGCCGGAGCGAAGCTAACAGAGACAGACGCTTACTGGGGTCCACCTAGTTAACTGGAAAGGGCGGCTATTAACCCTGAGTAGCACGCGCCCGGATTGGTTGATTCTGGTGTTGTTTCAAAGGAAACTCTTCTGTGATTGGCCAGGAAAGTCAAGCGGGAACCCAGAGGTGGTGGGTGGAGGGGGCAACAAAATTGTTACCTAGGCAACACCGAGACGCAGAGCTTTCCGCAGTCTATTTTCGGAGCCCCGCCAGCAGCCCGAAAACTGACCCAGGTGAGGAAACCCGAACCTTAAGAAAGGGAAAGAAAGGGTCCTCAAATGCCCTATTAGAGAAACTGGGGAGAGCTCTGGAGTACTTACCACCCTGAGAGATACCCAGAAAAGCCACAGGTTGCTAATAGAACAGACCTTTCCCCTAAATTCCCCTGTCCTACATATTAGAAGCCGGAGGCGGCTTTAAACACCTCGATATAGATGTGAATGAGAGAGGGGGCCGGTTTACCATACAGGGAATGGATGCTGTTCGACCCTCTGAAAGCCAAAATGAGCAGGTGAAGGCTTTCCAATGCCTATGTCAACTCACACACACTTATGGTTGTAACACTAATTTGAGAGTGAAAACTGTGTCTTTGTAGGTAGGTCTGGGTGCTCCAAGTTGGAGCAGCTCCTCTTTTTTCTGTTTTACATGTACAGACACGATTTATCCAGAGTGCCACGGTTAGGGTATATGTTTTTAGGGGGTACAACGCTGCTCAAACGGGGGGAAAAAATGGCCCGTGAGCTTGCTACGCAGACAATGGCCTGTCTGTGACGGTGAATACTGGCCGGAGGGTTCCAACGGTCATTGGTCAGATCCGTTGAGAACTGAACCGCAGAGAGCACTTAAGTGGGCTAGAGCGTGGTGTGTAAAGACTACCTGTACTTGGCAAACCGGCTACTCACTAAGGGCTGATTGGGAGCGTAAGTATTATATATCGTTGGACCATACCTATCACAAGGTAAAAAACCGTGTCAAAAACTAAAATCTAAGTAAGGGGAGAGAACAGAAGTTTGACTACAGAGGAGGGTTCATTTCTCCTAAGACCTTCCTGTTGTGACAAGGATTCAGAACAGAGACTAATTCCCAAAGAAATTAAGAAAACAGGCCTGTTGAGTTAGGGAGAAAATGTCTAAATACTGGAGGGAAATTTGCTGTCTCCTTTTTAGATAAAGGTGGAGTATGAGAGAAAAAAAATATTGACAAGTGTATTAAGTTTGCCTAAGATAATAAAGTATTGAATCAAAAGAGTCTCATTTATAAAATATTCCAGGTACTTTCAAAAGTCATCTTCTATTGAATATATTTTAAATTTGTAAAAAAGAAAACTCTGTTAAGTCTTCATAGTTACTTATGACTTGGTACATTTTATAGCAGTGAAAGTTTGGGACCTACAAAAGGAAATCATTCTTGGTATTGTAAAGACAAGGTCAAAAATGGATTATTTTTAATAAGCAGGGAATCACTGGTGTGTATAGCTGTAAAGTATAAAAAATAGCCAGTATATTCTAATTTAATTCAGACATAGGCAGAGATGATGTTTACTTTTGTGTTTTCAGAAGAATTTAACATAAGAGTTGCTAAATAAAAATTATGTAAATAGAGTTATAGAAGAAATGCCAAATTATGTAAGAGAGTAAATGGATTTTTGCTTTGTTTTGTGTTTTTTAAGAGAGTAAATGGCTTTTGAATATTTTGAAATCATTCAGTTATCAACAGTGCTTTACATAGGGATATGTGTTTACCTGTTAAACAAGTTCCCGAAAGATACTACTTGGTGATTCTTTATTACCCTGGTTTTATTTACTTTATATACTTGAATTAATAAAATATTTCCTTTTGAATTGTCAGTAATTCAGAGTTTTCACTAATTTAACCTGGATTTTTCTACAATTAGCTCAAGTGAAAAAGCCATCCCTGTTGACACTGTGGATGGAGGGAAATTAAGTAGAAGACATGACCCCAGCCGTCACAAAGAGAGTCTGACTTAATCTCAGGTTGCTGATATTGCTTCAGTGCCATGAGTCTGGTGTTATCCTGGTTAAGTGTGTTTAGTCCCTAACTGGTTTCTGTGTTTTGGTAATGAGTTGTTTCTGAAGTGTCTGTCTCTTTAGCTCTTGTGGCTACTACCAAGAGAGATTCCTCCTTAGTAAGGCCCTAAGGGCTCAAGTTGATGTGGGAAAATCATAGGCTCTGTCCAGAAGATGCTGCCATTGGAATCAGCCTAGCAACAGAAAGTGAGAGAAATAAAAACAGAGGGCCTAGAAATTTTATTTTCTAATAACCAAATCTCAAGTTGATTTAGCAATATATTTTGTTTTTAATGAAACTACTGCTTACATTTAACTTAAATGTATTCGTGGCCTACTTAAGGGGCAATGCCAGATTCAGGCAGTGTGGTTCTGGAATCTTTTTTTTTTTTTTTTTTTTAATCGCTACACTACAAAGAGTACCCTAGGCTAAAGGAAAAATACATTCTCAGGTACAAAAGCAGGAAATTATAAGGTATGTTTAATAAGTAGTACAGTTATTAACAGAATACATTGCATGTAGGAGAATAAACAGGGAGGGGCAGAAAATTAGATGGGTGCAGTAGTCTAAAGGACCTTGGTTGCCAGGCTTAACATAAACCTATCATATGTCAAATTTACAAGTAAAAGATAGCCCTACAAATAAATAACACTGCACAGTTTGTAAAAAGACATCTTGATTTAGTTTTTCCAATGTGATCTGTTTCTGTCAAACTTTAATGTTTTTATTAGTTTAATTAATTATTCTTAATTTGTTAAACTTCTAAAAGACCTAGTGAAATCTTCTTTTCCATTGAATTTAGAATATTTTTTCCAAAAGTTCATATCATTGTTTTTCTCTTTTGATACTTTAAACTAGTTAGTTAGTTATTCACAAAGTACTGGTGATTCCTTTACTTCTCAAAATATAATATCAACAAACTTGTCTTGATTTATTATTTCGTGTTTTCAGGTTATTATTACAAGTTGTTATGGTAAAAAGTATTTTTGCTTAACCACCAATTTCATTATGCGGTCTCTCCTCCAATTTAGCTACTTAGATCTATGCCATTTTATGACAGCATAATTTGGAATTTAAGAAGTCTAATTCTTAATGTGCTTCGGGATAGAGTGTTACTATCAAATACTATGAATGATTTGTTATATACTCCAACATTCATCCCAAGAAGTGGCATCCCCTTTAAAACAGTCACATTGGGAGTCTATCCATTTGCTGTTGCTATTGCTCAAATTACTTTTGAAAATGCTCTTTCAGAATCACCTTGAGGACTGTAGCATATTCTTTTGAATCTCCTCAAAGTACCAAATCTTCATACTTTGAAAGTAGATGTGATATCTAGATACATCTAGAAATCACTTGGAGACAAATCTGTTATAGAATCAACTGAGTGATACCATAAAGATACCTGTTTTTTTTAGTAATACATATGAAGGCAATCCCAAAATATTTTGAGCACTGATAGCATAATTTACATCAGTGTATAACCTTCCAAGGTGACTACTTTGAAATACAATATTCGTAAGAATGTAATCATGCTTCATTCAGTATTCATAACCTACTGACTATATGCCAGCTCCAGCTTTCAAGACTCTTGGCTTAAAGGTATGGCTTCCCACTGCCCGCACTGCCCTGCCTGTCACCAGATGAGAACCAGGCCAGAGCTTCTTCCCAACTGGTAGGGATTTAAAATAAATCTGCTCTCTCTAAATCCAGTATCCACCATCCCCACTGAATGACAGACAGCCTTGCTCATAATGTAGCTTCACAGAGTGACAGGAGAAAGCCTTGGATTCAAATGCCTGGTTCTCTTTTCCAGCTGTGACGATGAGCCCTGCCCTATTCTGAACCTTTATTCCTAGCTGCCAACTCTCCAATAACCCTCAAGAACCAGATCCTGCCTCCTGTAACCCCACCTGTGGACCAGCGTTCTGCTTCACCTATATAGACCTTCCTCTAACCATGCTGTTCAACCTTTCTGACTTGAAATACTGCCCATTTCCCCACCCCAAACTCCTGCTGCCATGTCCCTGCCAAGCAGATGAAAATCTATGAATAGCAGTTCTGATTGCTACCTCAGACACTATATTTTGGACTTCTGAATATTCTTCTTCTGTGTTAGCTTGGCTGGTTCAGTTTATTTCCCTTTCACCAGCCCACCATTGAGCTCTTACAAGCATCATCATCAAGTATCTGTGTGTGCTGGCACCATGTGCCAAACAATAATAATTTTATACAGCTTTTCATATTTTAGCAAACTCTTTCACCTACATTGCATAATAAGGCCATCACAAGAAGTTTGTAAGGTAAGAGTGGAATAATAAAAGTTTCTGTTATATTTGTTTTTTTTTTAATCTCATTGTGCAATCTCAACTCAAAATATTGTTCATATCATTGCATCTAATATCTGGATCCATTTCCCCTTTTCCTGTCAAACGTAGAAAATGTGTCAATAAACTTTTTTGCTTTTAGTGTTCAGTAAATATTTAATGAACACATAATCAACTAGAAATTTTGAAATATAAACAGGAGCCTCTTTGTTTAACTTAATATGTGTCAATTATTCATTTCCATAGCAGACTACCAGACCATACTGTGAAAGAAGTTTGCTTTCTCTCCACTTATTTTACCTTTTTCAATTTAATTAGCTTCCAATGTAATGAGTTTTATCATTAACTTATTTGACATCATTATTAGAAGTGATATTCATGCTCAGGAAAATTAAATTTTTAAAGGACCAATAATAGCTCACATATGTTGAGTGCTTACTATGTACCAGGCACTGTTCTAAGCTCTTTTACATGTATTAAGCTATATAATCCTTGTAACAACCTTATGAGGTAGCACTATTATTATTCCTGTTTTATAGATAAGGAAAAATGGGGTATATAGAGGTTAAATGACATGCCAGTGTCACAGAGCTGGGAAGTAAATGATACAAATCTAGGCGGCATGATGCTGGAGACCTTACTCTTAACCACTATGCTATATTGCCCCTATGCTAGATGTACAGTCAGTTTAACATTTCTTTCATACCCTTGATATCTCCAATAAGCATTTAGATCAGTTTTCCGTTTAAAAAAGAAAGTCAAAATAATAGTAAAACATAAAACAGAAGGTTTGTAAAACACCATCTGCATGCAGATTGATTTTGACAGGTGATTGTACCAGCACACATTTGAAAATCCCTCTCTATTACTGTTCTAGGTACAATGCAGAAATTTTAGTGGATCATTTAGTAATAGCACTAAAGAAGTGTTTCCAGTGAATTGATTTTATAAAATAATGTTTAAAAATATTAGCAGAGGTGTAGAAAAGATTCCTATTACACTTCTGCCCAAATCATTAACAATAGTCTTTATTCAGGTTATTCATTAAAGTCAGTGACACTTTCAAGATTTTTAAAGACCCTGAATTCCTATCCCAAATGTAACTGTAAGGATTATTTAAAAGACTGATGGTTGGTAGGATGGTAGGTAGTTGGGATTTTCCTATTTATGCTTTTGATATATTATTTCCTCAAATTTCCATGACAGACATATATAGTATCACTATTATAATCATAAAAACAGTTCATTTATTTTGTGTGAACTTTTCACTAAAGTCAATGGACCAACCCGCTAGAATTCTTAAATGGCAATATAATTGTAGGCATCATCAAGGGTTGATTAAAAATTTAATCTTCATGTCTTCAATGAAATAGAAAACCAAAATATCTCTCTCTGATTATCTTCTTCCTCAGAATATGGAACCTGAAAATATGGAGTCTGAAAATACAGAAACCGAAAGTATGGAAACTGAAAACATGGAATCTGAAAACATGGAAATTGAAACCATTTCTTCGGTTTCAGCCCTGCAGGCTCTCTCTAAGCTACTTTATCCTGAAGAAGAGGATGATTCTGAAGCTGGACAGGTGGTTGTATACTTACAGATGAATCAGTTCTGTTCATGCTAAGTTGTTAAGCTATATTTGAACAACTCGTTCCAACCTTTACTATGGGAGCAAGGCTGTGTCATCTGATACATTCACAGGAGGCTGCAGGACTGATTATGCATGAGAGTATAAACCTCTAGTACATTTCTAGCAAACATAATTATATTTTTTTCTAAACTACCTGAACAGTGAATAGGAAAATAGTTCTGTAACTATGGTAGCAATAACCACATTTCAAAATGTTTGTCATTTATATTTATGGCTGAAGAATGCTTGACAACCATTGCAAAGAGTGGTAGCTAGGATTTTTAAGCCTAGACAGTATGTCTATAAAACAAATAATTTCAACTAGACGCTATTAATTAGCCCCCCCCCATAATCCACTTCCCTTGATTTTAAAAAATTTTTCTACACATTAAAACACAACAGAAAATAATTTGGGCCAAATAATGGGACAAACTAAAAATTGACTTGTGTGATACATGTTCAGATAGAACTATGGAATCTAATTTTTTGGATAGTATTTGGGATCAGGACAGGTAACCTCAGGGGGGCTTACAGCGGCATGATGGGCTTCATTTTGGGGAAGGAGAGTTCCAGAAACTGACCAGCCACTCCACAGTCACTGCAGGTATTCCCAGAAAAATCAAAACACTTATGTAACCCCTGCTCTCCATTCTCCTACTCCTTAGGTATCAGCAAACCTTGGCTGTCAGGCTGCCTATTTTGTGAAGGCAAACAATATTGGGGACAGAAATCTCACACTATAGCAGAATATATCAATCCACTTTAAATTATTTTAGTGAAGTTGTTGTGATGACCAGTTTGCCACGAACAACCCAGTTTCAGCGAGCACACCCGTATCAATTTGCTCCTCCCCAAATTCTTTTCTTCTACTGTGTGGAAAAACAAATGTAATCTGAATAGGAAGCAAATTCGGTGGCTCAGATAAACACTGGCTTGGGCTTCCACCATTTGGGAAGTGTTAGGGGGAATGTGCAGAATCAAATAAAGACTAAGACATGCAATGGAAATAAAATGTGTAGCTGGTAACTGAATCAACTTGTGTAGATGGTAACTAATCAACTGCCGGGGTTAGAAACCAAGAAGTGTTGGTCAGGCAGTAGTTAGTAGGGGCCAAACAAAAATCGGGACAATAATAACAGCATTGAATATATACAACAAGTAGGACACTGGAGAAAAATTTAGGAGCAATGTATCAGTGAAGCTAGAAAGGCAAGTTCATTTTTGCTACCTGAAACTGAAATAGAATGATGATACATCCTGTGAAGGGCCAGGGTAGGGTTATGTCGTATACAGAAATTATGTTAAATACCTGAGAAACAGCAATCTCGAATAAAGGCAAGTGGAACTTGTAACTGGAACAGATTCAGAGATAAAGATTCACCCTGGTTACAAAGCCTGTTCTCTTTGGCATTTACGTATGGGGATGTTTATTTGCATCTAGAGGTGATTCTAGGAGAACGAGGAGTGATTATGAGAATAGAGACACTAGGATCATTTTACCAAATTGTACAATTCATAGGGGAAAATTACTGTAATAATGTATGATTCTGTATATCTGGGTTATAAGCAATTTTGAGGTAATTGGTCATTCAGACACCACCGCACAGATATCATTAGAGGATATAGAATTGGAGTATCAGAACAGTGGGAGAATAATTAATGTTTCTAATGAACTATTAAATTTTCCAGGAGAAAAACGGTTTTTCATTTTGTTAACATGTATGAATCTTGGGAACTGTGGAATGATTACAAGAGTGATGTGGTTTTGAAAATACTCTCTCTGAAAAGAGCATTAGAACTGTTGCATACAAGTTGGTTTATTTACATGGTCCCCACCATGCATTGTTAAGAATCTAGGAGATTAGGAAGGGACTGTTTTTGAAACTCAAAAGGGGATGTTAAGGCCTGTGGGAAATAAGGTTCACCACTCTACAGACACCGTAACAAAGTTGTTCCAACTCTCTTACATATTGCAAAGTGGCATGAATTGCAATGACAAATTACTCATAATTGGATGTGGATCCATGGTAAAGGCTGAAATGATTATTTTTATAGAAAACATTTGCAAGAGGGTGTTTAATGTTTTATTATCCTGGTTCAACTTTTAACTTGAAATTTTTGTTTTTAATCATTTATTTTCATTACGTTAATAAACTACAACTCCCCCTCTGTTGTGATGTGCTGATTGAATCATCACTGTGCATGGAGGGCATACCAGTTTTTGTCAGTTTTTTATTTGTATGGATTTTAATTTTCCGTGGAAGGAGTCGCTCAACAAAACAAGAGGCCCTCATGTTCCAAGAAATGCTTTACCCTGATTGACTATTAGTATTCTAGTGATTAATAACTTAAGAAAAGCACCACAAGTTTATATGACCTTAGTGATTAAAAAGAAAAAAAAAAACGTACAGAATACGGTCTTGGGATTTTCGCATAAAAATGCCTGTAACACTTTAACCGCAGACATAGCACTTTTGAAGCTCCTTTTGGAAAGGAATGGTTACTGTCTCAGAAACCGTTGAGATGTTACAGATTAATTTCTGATTTATAGCTGTTGGAATAGTTTAGCATAATAAAGACACAGGTGAGCTTTGCCACTGGCTTTCAAGGACAGACGCTATTCCTCTTGCCCAAATAGGACATCATAACTCTTCTACATGTCTGAAGTCTTGGGAGATAGGGACAGGGGTCTGAGAGAAGAGAGCTAGAGATGGTAGTTTGCCAAGGTCCAAGGAGATAAGATCTTTTTGACTGCCAGCAATGAAGTAAATTGCAGCTGTGGAATCTGGCATCAGCGAAAACAATCAGTAAAATACTGGGGTTTTCTTGAGATAACAAAAGACCTCTGAGAAGGACCAATGATGCGATTGCTGCTATACTAAAGGTGTAATAAGTATTATACTTCAGTGAAAAAAGGAAAATTGTTCTTATACTGGTGAGTAGAAGAGCAGCCCTGTGGATGTATGTTTCCTTGCACAAAGGATGGCAAAATCAACTCGTATGATGACTGAAGTGGTTCAGCATGGATTTGACGCTATTAATTGAGGGTTGCTGTTTAAATCCCTTAGTTCAGTGTCATGAGGTGGTGTGATGAGGAAGGGTTTCATACTCATGGTGGAAAAGCAGTAAAATCAGTTAACAGGAGTTTTGAATGAGTTCTTTGGTATCTAAAGACTCTATTTAGTGGCTTGGTTTCGTTTCTATAAAAGTTTCCCATCCTTTTCCATCTTCCACCTAACTATGACCAGATACTGCCCAAACCCCAAATTGTCCATGCTTTTATACTAATACTTTGTTCTGACCTTCAAAGAGATGAATGTGGCTTATCCCCCTATCCACAGGGATACATGATTCACTGGGCTGGAATTGGGGATTTAGTCTGATCAAAGATCAGTTCTGGCTTAGGGTCTATTAAACTAAATACTTTTTGAAAGGACAAGGAAAATACATTCTAAATAATGCTTGACATCTGTCTCTCTGTTGTATAACAACGATAATTAAATGAGAAGTGCTATGAAATTTGAGATGGAAAGCTGATCAACTTTCAAGTATTATTGGTCATGTAAGTTGCACAAGTAGTAATTACAGAATGCTGGACTTTTTTTCTTCTCTCCCAGCCAAATTGTTCATATGCTTATGGAGCCATGGGTCCTGGGAATATTGGACCACCAAGCATAGAAGAACTCAAAGGTAAGTTATTTAACAAAGCATATAGATCAATATAATCAGTATAGTCTTTGGGAGCAAAATTATAGGGGGTGTGTTACTAACACTAGAATTTGCCAAAGATGAACTCAAATAATTGTGGAAATGATGAACAGCCATTTACATAAAAACATGCTGTTTTTACTCTACTGTTGTACATAGGTCATTTTTCTACTAATGGAAATTAATTTGCTTTGAATTATTCACATTCGTTTTTTGGCATATTTCCCGATACGTTAAACCAAGAAAGTTATATGTGGTTAAATAACTTTTTTATTCTTTAGGGTCTAGTTATAAGATGCTTAGTTACTTCACTTTCTATCCTGCTATATCTGCTATATTCTGTCAATTTCACAGAATTTGTTAATTCATTCAACAAATACTTATTGAGAGCCTGTTATGTACCAGGCATTATGATCATCTCTGGGACTATGATGAAGATCAAAACAGAAAGGCCACTGAGCTTATAGTCTTTTGGAGAACACAGTCAAACAAATAACTACACAATTTGATCTTACCCCAAAATACTTATAGATTAGAGCCCATTTATATATGATGGGCTTTAATTATATATTTAATTATATATTAAACGGGGTGACTTAAATAGTTATTTAATATATAGCTAAATATATTAAGTATGTAGTTAAATAGATTTATATTTATAATATATATTCATACTTATATAATTAATTATAATACATAATTAACTGTATTTAATTATAATATACATTTAATTATAATTAAATAATAATTATAATTAAATAACTATACATGCATAAATATAATACCTATAATTATACATACATAAATATAATACATAATGCATTGGCGGCTTATATAGTCACAGGTCCAATAAACTAGAATAAATATTTGGGGATGTTTTCCCAGCATTTTGGCTTATACATTTTCACATAGTTAAACATTTTACACATCTTTAAAAATAAAGAAGGCTCTAATTCATGATGACAGTTACCAGAGAGTGAGTGGATAGGGAAAGGAAGAGAAGCTCCTTCATCAATTTAGCTGATTGTAAAAGATTTTATCTGGAAAAATGGGAATGATTTTAAAATTTCAGTTATTAGACTCTACATACTGAAGAATCTATTTGCCTAGTTCAAGAGATGTTGGGGGGCGCCTTGGTGGCTCCGTCGGTTGAGCGTCCAACTTCGGCTCAGGTCATGATCTCGTGATTTGTGACTTTGAGCCCATGTTGGTCTCTGTGCTGACAGCTCAGATTCTGTGTCTCTGTCTCTCTCTGTGCCTCCCCTGCTCACACTGTTTCTCTCTCTCAAAAATAAATAAATGTTACCAAAAAATTAGAAAAATAAAAAAAATGTTGGAAAACTAGTTCAAATTTCAATGTATTTCTGTGCTTCCAGTATTTCTGATAGTGTATGTCTAATAACCTCTAAATTCTGAGAACAATGAGTCATTTGTAACTTATTTTATATAAATCTGTAATTAGGCTTCACAAAGCCCATGCTAGATAGAGGCAGATAATTTGAAAAGAGTGGCAGTATTGAAAACCTGGTAATCAAGTGCATTTCTGGGGATGCTTAAAAGGGGAACTCGAAGTAATGTTCTGCACCTAAGGTTGGTCTGCGTTTGCTGCCCCAATAGTTGGAGCAAATGTAAGCTGGGTTTTTGCATGCCTTATTTAATTTTAAACAATTAAAGATGACAGGTAGAAACCCAGGTACATGCTCAGTCCTACATAGAGGACAAGTGATAGAGATTCTCTTTGAGGCTCCCATCTGCAGGAAGAAAATACTGGATTGAAAACTGATCATTGTATCCACTGTTTTCAATTTCTTTAACTGACAATATTTTTAAAGAATTATCTCTCTTAAAAACAGAACAAACTGAAGGGAGTGGGGGAGAGGGAAAAATGAGTGATGGGCATGGATGAGGGCACTTGTGATGAGCACTGGGTGTTATATGGAAACCAACTTGACAATAAACTATAATAAAAAAAAGAATTATGTCATGCTGGCATAGAAAAGGTATCAAAGAGCTTCTATATAGTGATACACAATGCAAGATAAGACATTTCTACCCAAATCAGATTGATTGTATGTTTGATTTGTTCTTTTACATAAATATTTTACATATGATCCTAGTATTTCTATGTGTATATATATATATATATATATTCTATATGTTCATGTAAAATGTTATATCATATATTGAGTATATATGCTATACGTGCATACATGTGGGGAGACACACACACAGACTGGAAAGATACACATTAGAATGCTCTCATTGATTATCTCTGGGAAGTTGGATTACAGATTATTTTATTTTCTTTTTGCTTATATGTCGTTTCCAAATTTTCGCAGTTATTATTATAATTTTACAGTGTATTGATTATGCATTGATTCAAAAATGTTAAGTTTTTACAAAATTAAAATTGCTTGTTTCAACCAAAAAATAAACTACCGGTGACAAATAGAAAATGTTTGACTTTGACGATCCCAACTGCATGTGAAGAACAGGAGCGATTTTGAGGGGGAAAACAGACAACAGCTTCAGCTTTATCTTCCCTTTTTTCACAGTCGTCCCTCAAAGCAGTGATGAAAATGTCGAGAATATCTGGAATCCAGAGGAAGTTCCAGAGGGAGCAGAGCACAATGACATATGGGATGTTAGAGAAATACCAGAGTAAGTCAAATGAAGGCGGGAATGTGTTTGGGGCTTAAGTTCGATGTGTCATCCGATACCATTCTATTTTTGACAATATTCATAAAGTAACTTTTACCACATGAAAAGAGAAGACTGCAGTGACACACATAAGGCATGTGTAATTGATGATTTTTTTTCTTTGTGGAGCAGAAACAAAAAGTAAAACATAACACCTCCCTTTAGTTATTATCTAACAAAAAAAATGAAAAATACAGTGATTTCCATTACAAAATTATATTCAGTGTCACTTGGTTGTATAATTAGGAACTAACACTGGGAAAGAAAAAAAGCCCATTAAATTACAAGCATTCATATGAACTAAATTATTATACCATGCTTATGTGTCAAAGACCTGCTTTTAATTACTCAATGTTCAATTTCAGTAAAAGGCTGTGCTCTCCCTCTGATTATCTATTATTACCTGGATCTGTTTGCTAGTTATTTTAGGATTCTGTTTAATATATTTTGCAAGTAGGATTGAAGGCTCACCTTGTAGCTTTTTTGATAGGAATTGTGAATATGAATTGTAAATATTATATTTAGGATTATTATCGTAAAAAGGTCATTCACTCTGATAAAATAAATTACCCACAATTTCAAGGAACTGAAAGTGTGTTCACATTCATAATTGAAACTAATGGTTAAATACACCAAGCTTTAAATATATATTTATTTTTTTATATTTTGGTTAACATACAGAGCAATATTGGTTTCAGAAGTAGAATTCAGTGATTCATCACTTACATACCACATCTAGGGCTTTAAAATAAAATCTCGATTGAATATTTACAATAGGTTGAAAAACAAAGGCAGTACTTACAAAATTATAATGTACTTCATAAATTCTTGAAGACTTCTATGGTAAGTGACCTGACAACTTTTCTAATTCTGACTATAAAATTGTGTCCAATGTTTAAAAAAAACCTTACGCTCCTATCTTCTACATCCATTCTGAAAATAGAAGCAGTGGGAGACTGCAGATAATTAACTAGAAAAAATTATCCAGATTTCACATAAACAATGTGAAAAAAAACCTATAAACATCATAAAAAAAGATTAAAAGGGATTTTAAAACATTTCTGTGTGCATCTTCAAAATGAAGAGAGTAAATCTCAGGTTATGTTTATACAGTGCCCACACATCCGTATAAAAGGTAAGAAGTAAGCCACTCATTTGTCATATTGTCTAAGGAATGTCAAACATCCATATGTGGCAAGTTCCAAATTTGAGTACATTTTCATTTCTCATCTTGATGTTTGATGTTCTGTAGAAATAACATCCGTGAAAGCTTTAAATGAATAAGAACTCCAGTCAGGGTATGAAGAAAATTGCTTTATAAGATTTTTTAATCTTTATTTTCTCACTTATGCAAGTACATTTCAAACTGTCCCAGTGGGTAAAGAGGAAAATGGGTAAAGAAAGTGAGTAAGCAGCTCACAAAAAAAGAAATCACGAGCAACCACATACAAAGTAACACGGGCCTGAGCTGAGTCACTGGCCTTGGGGAGAAATGTGAGGGTCTTTATTTGAGAGAGTCTTAAAGGAATATATGGCATTCAATTAGATATAAGGAATGAGAAGAAAGCCTCAGAAATGATGCTGAGGGTACCAACTTGGGTGACCAGGTGAATAGTGAGGACATTGTGATTGGGAATGAAGGGAGAGGGGAAGCAGTGAATTTGGTTTTGGATGTGTGGACTGTGAGGTGCCTTTGGAAAATAACATCTGGAGATGAGGAGAAGAGCAGCAGCTAGAACAAATCTATTTGGGAGTCATGGGCATGTGGATCGATAACTTTCTGTTTTGTTTTAACCTGGCTTCACCTTTGCAAATATCAGGTAAATGTTATAGTCTATTAAGAAAAAAAGTGCCCCGTATCAAATAGCTACTTATTGCTAGCCCTATTCAAACTCAGAGAAATCCCTTTTTTCATTCTTGGGCATTCCTATTTGCAAGTGGTCAGAAGTTCAATGTAGTCCTTTAGCCTTCCTATCCAGAGATTTACCATTTCTTCATGAGGGTAGAATTAAATGGGAAAGATCACTTGTAAACATTTGCTTACTTCATTCCATCTAAAAAGATAGGGTACAATATGGCTGTGTGTTTCTATAAACCAATCTATCCCTAGGGACCCTAATTTGGGGACAAAGAAAGATTTGTAAATTGTCATAATTGAGGTGAAATATCAGGAAAATCTTTCACTGGACTAAGAACTTGTAGGCCTAGATTCTAAGCAATGCAATGTAGTTGTGCTGACTGCATTACCAGTGTTTCTATTGTAGAGTTTTAGAAGTGGAAAAGATTATAGAGATCATTGAGTTCAAACCGACCCTTCTCCCCATGAGTCTGTGACTTGACCAAGGTCACACAGTTAATGACATAAAGAGTACTAAACCTGGATTTTCTAACTCTACACTGTGGCTTCAGTTTAGCAGAGGAGGATTTTTATCTATCCATCAAACCCTGGGTTATGGGCCTACTATTTTTCAGAGCCATCATTTTCTACTTTTAATCTTCTTAGAAGTTCCCTTAATCCATTTTATTTGTATAGCTCTAAAACAGCTAAGGTTAATTTTTCGAAAAGAAGTAGATACAATATAAATCCTGCTTTACAGCGTTAAGTATTTTTGACTGAATTTCTAGACTTCTGTTTCTTCATGTTCTCCTGTATGCCTGAAAAACTGTCAGCACTTTATTTTTTGTAATAGCATGTCCTCATAAGTTTCCAGTTTTTTTGCGCTGTGAGGAAATTGCTCTTTCTTTTGAGTTTCTGTATCATTGACTCCTCCCCCCCCTTTTTTAGGTACGAGATAATATTCAAACAGCAGGTGGGAACTGAGGATATATTCCTAGGATTTTCGAGAAAAGACTCTTCAACAGCATGTTGTGAAGATCTAGTGGTGAGCTTCTTTCCATTTTCCATATGACCATTATGGCTAAATTGACGGACTGTTGTGTACATAATACCATAGGCAAGGCAGTAAACTCTTTAAAAATAGTAGTTACTATGTTTTAGGCATTAAGAGAATAATTGGATTGGTAGTTTAAAATTGGTAAAGATGGGGCGCCTGGGTGGCTTAGTCGGTTAAACGTCCGACTTTCGCTTAGGTCATGATCTCGCGGTTCGTGTGTTCTAGCCCCGCGTCGGGCTCTGTGCTGACTGCCAGCTCAGAGCCTGGAGCCTGTTTCAGAGTCTGCTTTTCCCTCTCTCTCTCTGACCCTCCCCTGCTCACGCTCTCTCTCTCTCTCTCTCTCTCCCTCTCTCCTAGAAATAAATAAAAATATTTAAAAAAATAAAATAAAATTGGTAAAGATGTACAAAATAAACTCAATTTACATATACGTGTAAGATTTACAAATAAACATAGTAGAAGCATATGACGTAATACACTATTTCTAGCCTTATTAAAACTGCCCATTTGGGGCATCTGGGTGGCTTAGTTGACTGAGCATCTGACTCTTGATTAAGGCTCAGGTCATGATCCCAGGATCGCGGGATCAAGCCCCACATCAGGCTCGGTGCTGAGGATGGAGCCTACTTAAGATTCTCTCTCTTTCTCTTTTTTTTTTTTTAAAATGTTTTATTTATTTCTAGGAGAGAGAGAGAGAGACAGCGTGAGCAGGGGAGGGTCAGAGAGAGAGGGAGTCACAGACTGAAACAGGCTCCACGAACCGCCAGATCATGACCTAAGCGAAAGTCGGACGCTTAACCGACTAAGCCACCCAGGCGCCCTTCTTTCTCTCTTTCTGCCCCTCTCCCCATCTCATGCTCTCTCTCTTAAAAAACAAAAAAACAAAAAACCCTACCCATTCCAATTGGACTGAATTTTCTTTCATCCTAGTTCTGTTCAATGCATGCCATCTGATTGGTTATTAATTATGATGAGTTGATGGGCAACCAGAATGAAATCTTTCCTTCCCTGAATCTCTTACTTCTTCTAATGACTCAGATTACAATGGTGAGATTTAAAAAGGGACTTTTTCTTAAATTTCGGATATGAACTTCTGATTTAAAACTCTAAAAAGACATCTAAAAAGTTACTGGACTCCTATCTGAATGACTCTATTTGTATGTAATAAAAATAACAATACCAATGACATCAATGAGATCACCTTATTTTTGCTTATTTGAGCCTCATAATGATCTTGTTGAAAAGTCTGGGTCTACCCAAGATTGTGGAATGCAACTCTTTTTGGTAGCATATACTAGTAATTCTGGTTTGGAGAATTTTTTTCCCTGAGATCAGGGACTGTACATATATCTTTTCCCTCTCTCTCATAATACTCTACATTATAGAGTACTGAGGTGCCAATTGGAGATGCTTAATATTTTTTCCTTAAGCAAATGATAAATGGCATCGCTCTTTTGCATGAACTTCAGGTTTCTCTTATTAGCAAAATCTAAGACATTCAGTTGAATGAAGTAACATAATGGGAATAGTGAGTTTAAGTACCTCGGGAGATTTTTCACATTCTAATGAGTTAAGGTTTCAAGTGATCTTGAAGTAATTAGCTCCCTGGGTTTTACCAGTAATATCCCAGTTCCTCTCTTTTAAATAACTGTAAAATAAAATTTTTGATGTCTAGTGTTGAGGATTGCTGTAAACTCTGGAGGAATTCCAGGCCCTAAGTAAATAACTGTTGTGACCCTTTCCATTTCTCTCTTGTAAAGTGCTACTAGAATTAATAATAAAGGTATCCTGAATGAAGACTCTTGGAACCTAAATTGTACCTCAGAGTAGTATACAATTAATGTAAAACTCAACAAGTATAAGCAGAAGAAGACCTGGCCCCTCCCTTTAATGAACTTCTAATTGATTGGGGAGACAGCACTAACATAAATGAAATCATCTTATTATTAACAATGAAACTCAGTCTTGACAGTTTTCAGTCCACCAGTTTAGAAGTTTCAGTTAAGGCACAGACAGCACTGAATGGAAGCCACAGGAAATATTTGTTGGTGCTATGGCACCTCACCACATGTACACTGTTCTTTTTCTCTTTCTTTCTCTTCATACATTCAGTCTTTAAACACTTAGTGAGTACCATTGCATACCAGGCACTGTTCTAAGTACTAGGGATACAAAGATAAATAAGATACAGTCATTACCCTCAAGAAATTTATAGTAAAGGGCATGGACGTCTAACAAATCACTGCAATTCAGTATGGTAAATATATATTTAGAGGCATATACCAGTACATGGTGACATAAAGTGGAAAGGGATCAACAACAGGTGGACAGGATTTTTCCAGTGGACAACATCTCATGAAGGGCATTGCAAACAGAGGTAAGGCACGTGGGAAGGTACCCAAGCATGAAATAGCCTGGCCTGTTTGAGTGATGTGTGCATATAAGAAGGAATAATTGTGGACAGCTGACTCTCAAAAAAGAGAAAAAAGAATCCCCGATTTGTAGCTTGAATTTTATCCTATAAGCACATTAATGATGATATCCACTATCATTGTTTAACCTCACTGGTAAGACTTGGACTGAAGAGGTTGTCGACCACATCGCAAATATTTCTTCCTCAAATGTATAAGCTTATTATTCCTGTTGATAATATAGCATTTTCTCATATCTAAGACATCATCGAATTGTAAACATGCCACTTACTTAATAACAAAGAAACAACAAGTATACTACCATGTTAAATGTACACATTGGTTGCGTGATGCATCCCAGTATCAGAAACACTAAAATGTGGGGGGAATTACACCTTAGAATTGGCCAAATTTATTATTTGTGGGCTGGACCTGGTCTCTATCCAACCCAGAGACTTCAAGAAGAAGACCTCTGTTTAAGAGGAGGAGGATAGTAACACAATCTGTTTGAGTACAAGAAGGGACTTCGAATCTAAATTTCTTGAGGACCACCCCTTACTTTACCCTCCCCAGCCTCCAGATAAGCAAACAAGATTTATGAGTCTTAGAGCAATTGTCCTAAACAAAATTCTCAGTTAAGACTATGCATGTTTTCAGCAAACTTTCCATTCTTTCCTTCTAACCCCAAGCCAAGGAGCTCCATTATCCAAATTGTGCTTGCTGCTCCACTCCCCGAGTTCATAGCTACCAAACTTCCCTTGCCTTAATCTATATTTAGGCATTTAATATTTTAAGTAAAAATTGTATGTATTTAAAGTGAAGTGTACAACATGATGATTTGATACATGTATATATAGTGAAATTACTTCAGTCAAGCTAATTAACATATCCTCTCCTCACCCACTTAGCACTGTGTGTGTGTATTATGTGTGTGTGTGTGTGTGTGTGTGGTTGAGAGCACCTGAAATGTACTCTCTTAGTAGATTCCCAGTATTCAATATGGTATTAGTAACTATAGTCATCATGCTGTACATTAATTTTACAGCTACAGCTAGGTTTGCAGGTTTGTTTTGTTTTTAGCTGCTAACCTCAAACAAAATTCTATGAGAAAGCCCAACATATAAAACACATAAAAGTACCCCTGCCTTCATTCAAAGGGTACTATCGCCCATGAGGCAACTCCTAGGAGAAAAACTGGGGCTCTTTGGAACACGGTTTAAAAGATACTTATCTAGCCTTTTGTCCTTGTAGTACAGTTGATAAAATAAGGTCAAGCTTGCAAGATATCAAATACTCATATAAATTAATGGAAGAATAATAAGAGAGCCAGAGGGCTTTTTCCTCCTAGGTAACATGTGTGTTTTTCTTTAAGCCTCATGAGTATAGTGCCCCTGTCTTGTTCTATTTTACTTTATTATTTTTAATTTTCTCTTTTGTTCTCTATATTTTCCATCGGTCCCCACAAGCATCCCACTATCAGGGGTTTGATATATATCCTTGAATACATATTTACCATTGTTTGCTACATGTTTTTTTTAATGTTTACTTATTTGTTTTGAGAGAAAGGTAGAGAGCGAACTGAGGAGGGGCAGAGAGAGAGGGGGAGATAGAATCCCAAGCAGGCTTTGCGCTGTCACCACAGAACCTGATGTGGGGCTCGAACCCACGAACCATGAGATCATGATCTGAGCCAAGATCAAGAGTCAGATGCTTAACCGACTAAGCCACCCTGGCACCCTGCTGTATTTTATAATTCAGCAAATACTTATTGAGCACTTGCCATAGGTCAGATACTCAGTATATAGGGTTGAACAAAATAGGTAAGTTTCTTCTTTCAAGGAGCTTACTGTCAAGATATTAAGTAGTCCATAAGCAGCAGCAGACTTTCATAGGTCCACCAATAAGGAAACAGTGAGCCCCAATGCATATAGTTGATTACTTACACAGGCAGCATCAGCAAGATCAGTATGGTATCATCTCCCTTTGCCCCACAGGACATCAAACGAAAGTGGCCAGATGACAGGTGACACGGGCAGTAGGCACTCTGTTGCTGAAGAGCCAATTCTAGATTATAGCTGAATTATTTTATAGCCTGCATCTATACCCAAGAGGAGGGAGGTATAAAGCCCTTCTGCCTTATGGGAACCAGGGAGTAGGGTGAGAAATGGCCTCCCACAAGATAAGGAGCCTCAAACAAGGCAGAAAGACAGATAGGAAACAGCCTTGAGGCAGCTCCTCACAAGACTGTCTATCTTTCCACATTCCAAGAGAATCACAGGATGTCCTGCCAAGACTTGGGGCAGACTGTAGTTGAATCTTGCCTATGTGGCCTATGGGGCTGGTGCAAGGTTGCTGGGGTGCCATGGCAAAGCCATCTCCCTACATTCACAGTCTATGAATAAATGTTTTTATCCAGATTATTTTCACTTAACATTAAATGATAATAATAATAGCAAAACAATTTATATAATGCTTGCTATGTTCCAGGCATTTCTCTGTGACCTTTGCATATAGCAAATCATTAATCCCCGCATCGACCCTATGAAATAGGTGCTCTTATTTTCATTGCACAGATAA